AAAATATAAACCTTATAATAAAAAATCATTAGATAAAAAACGATGTAAATGTTGGAATTGTAATGAAGAAGGACATATAAGTACTGAATGTCCAAAAAAGAAAGTTAGGATATTAATTACAGATTTTGAACAAATTAGAGATGAATGTGTAGAAAACTTACTAAAAATAAAACCAATTTCTAAAACTACTATAAAGTTTAAGGATATGACTTGCAATAAAAACCTATTTCATTAAGGGTAAAATGGACTTTTCCATCAAAATACCAAATGGGTCAAAAGATTCGACTAGTTTGAAAATTCTCCCATATCTATAAGTCTTATCCATTACTGCACAGGAGCATGGGCTGACCTGGGGGGTCCAGGGGACAAGTGCCCTCCCCTCCACCCAACTTTTGAGATTTTTTTTTCTTTTAATAAAATCTTGTTTGATATCGATTGAAATCCAAATTTTAATTTTAATTAACAATTAATTTTAATAAAATATTTCCTGAAACACATAACTGTTTAATTTTTATCAAAATTTAATAAAAAATTTGATTTTAATATCCACCAAATAGGGATAAAATCACAATAAACTTGAATTTCGATAACATGCTAATTTTAAAAATTCTCTAATGAGCATACGCTAATCAAATCTACAAATTGCTTATGTCATTTCAAAACTTATTTCGAGAACTATATTATGAACATATCAAATATTCTAAACAGATATCGAAAATAGTTAAAAATTTCATTAACATTTATTATTTTTACGATACAAAATTTTCAATGTAATTTTCATAATTTTATTAAGAAATTTTATATTGATTATGACATTAAAAATTTTCGAAATTTTACATTCGAAAAAGTCATATCCCATGTAAATTTTCAGACGTAAAGTTAGATAGAGTAATATTTTTTTGGACGTAAATTTTTTATTGTAAAATTTCTCAAACTTTTTTAAAAGTTCGATTGTGCCCCATAACTTTTAATGTCTGCGTCCACCCCCGCACATGAGTTTACCAGCATCTAAAATACAAGTACAAAGAAGACGTTGACTTGAACAGCTAAAAACAAAAAGGTCTAAATGAACAATAAGATCAAATATGGATCCTTGTTTACATAAGAAAGTGCAAGCCATTATTTATAATGTTCAAAGTTGATTCTAAGAAATCCAAGGTATGCATATTGTTGAGGCTGAAGGTCATGAACCGGCCCTTGTTATTTAGTTCAGTGGATCTTTAATATAGAACACAGAGAATGAAATGTAAAAATAATTGACTTTGTATAGAGTGGTGAAGTTTTAAGAAAATTTTCCCTGCCCTTCTTTTCTTTCTCATGTATTCACAATCCAAGTCATCTTCCACCTTCAAAACAAAACAATAAGAACGTGCAAGCTGATATATACAGAACAGTGGATATTAATTATACGAAACAAAGACTCACCCCTCCACCTAGGAAAGCATCAATCTG